GGGCGGCCTCTGATTCCAACGCCCCCTCCCCAGGGGACCCCTCGCCGCGGGCATCACCCTGCACCCTCCGGCAGATGCTCGGGTCCTCCAACCTCTGCCACCCAGCAACTAGCCACCAATGGGGTCTCTGACTTCCCAAGAGCCGAGGCACGCATCTTCTGGGTGTCTCTGCTAGGACCCCAGCTTTCCATACTCTTGGGTGGAGCCCCACCTCCTTCGCTACGGACCACGGCCAGCCAGAGTCCAGCGGACTCCCCAGACCTCTGCCTGCTTGTGCTATGGGCTGGTAGGATCGGCTGGCCTGACGGGTCTAGAGGACTGTGGACCCCACTACGACACCTGAGCTTTGGGCACTGGTACACTTAAAGCTGTGCTAGACCGATGGTCGCGGTCCGGCCAGCGGCCTAGAAGAGGGAAGGACTCCGGGCGTGGTCTCACTTAGCAGACCACCAGGCCGAATTGCCTGGGGCGAGGTCGTGGAGCAGGGAACTGGCGCCAGAGTCGGCTGGAGGGAGACTCCGGGGGCATTAGCCATATGTATATTTTTCCTCCTAGGGGTCCCCGAAATGGCCTTCGGGGAGAGGGAAGCAATGTTTTTGAGCACTTTGTTTCTAAAGTCACCTGAAGTTTTTCCTCCATACCTCCATTCTGGAAAGGCCGTGAGCTCGGAGGCGGATGTACAAACGTAGCTCCCTCTCTGGGTATAGACCTGAGACCTAAGCTCCAAAAGAGGCTTGTGAGTCAGACTTTTAGGGGAATCTAGACAGGTGCGAGGGATTGGCCGAGCTCGACGCCCTCCACCTAGCTCTTCTATCTTTTCAGGGCCCTTGACCCCCAGGGAATAATCCCAGAGGAGTCCCAGGTGAATCCCGAGCAGGGGGAGGGCTGGGGTCCCCGCCGCCCCCAAGGATGGGGGAGGGGCAGCAGGATTGACAGTCCGTAATTGGGTAACTGGAGGCGGCTTCTCCGGCCCGGCGGCCCCGCCACCGCGACGCCGGGCCCCTGACGTCACCCGATTCGCCAGGAAATGAACTTTTTAATAATCCAAGGAGGGAGGAAAGCCCTCGGTCCCCTCGGCTCGGGGGGCGCCCAGCCCGGCTCAGCTCTGCGGGCGCGCCCCCATCACCCCCTCCCAGGTCCTCTGCGGACAGCTCTGTGGGGGCGCGCGCACGGCAGGGCCTCCTCCGATCTCTGCGGCTGGCATCCGTCTGACTGTCCGAGGCTTTGGAACAGGTAAAGGCCCTGAGTCGGGGTGCAGAACAGCACTGGGCCGGAAACCCGCACCTCATGCGCCCTGGGGGGTCCCTCCTGTTCACCCTGTTCCCTGTGCTTGGCGCTTCAGAGGCAGCAAGGGCCCAGGCGGCTGGGAAGTCCGCTCCCAGCTTAGGCGGGAGGTCGTGAGAAGGCTCTGGGGGGCTATAGGGGCGCAAGGCCGCAGTGCCTCGGGGCGGCTGGGCAGGTGGGTGGTCCAGTGCCGCCAAGCTCGGGAAGGCTTTCTCGGTCCTCCCCTCCCCCGCCCCCGCGCGCGCCTTTAGACCAAGTTCTTCATTAACGCGCAAAGCGAGATAGCCACGGAGTTTCCAGAGTATTCGATGTCTCTGGAACCTAGCAGGAGCGTCTAAAGGCCTCGCAGCCCCGGTGATAACCCTACTCTCAGCAACGGTGCCCCATGCGGCCGAATCCCAGGCCTCTGCTCTGCAGATTTCCTGGAGGAGAGCGCCGAACGCAGAGGAAGCTGCCCTGGCGGTGCCCGCGCCTCGGCTGGCAAGGCGGGGGTGGGGGGGAACCTCCCAACACCACCCCTGAAAGCAGGTAATTCCCCTCTTTTCTCCCAAAGTCGCAATTAAATTATCTCCCTGTTTGAACGAGATGAGGGTTGTGGTTTCCACGCCACGTCACGGACAGGGCAGGTCCTGTCTCTTGTAGAGGTGAAAGTGGTCAGCCCGGCGGGTCCCCACTCAAAACGCGAGCCCCAGTGTTGTCCACCCGACTCACACAGAGCAGAGCGGAGTGCTGAAGGGGATTTAATTACTCTGCTCGGCAGCTCAGAAAATCGCCACGCAACAAGGGCTTGGTCGGGCGGTTAAGCGACGCTTGAGCCAGGGCCTCAGGAGACCCGCAACAGCCTGCCTGCCCACAGACTGGGCATGGTTTTTTTTTTTGGGGGGGGGGGGTCCTGCCAGGTCCTTTGAGGCCCCGGGGCTGCCTTCTGGAAACTGCCAGCAACCAGCCGGCTGGCCTGAGCCCCTGCCGAGGTTGGAGCCCCCTGCGTCCCATGCGGGACTGCTGAGTTTTCCACAGGACCGAACCCGTCTGAAAGGGAAAATTGCCAGCTAGGGAGCAGCACACTGAATTGGTGAATAAAGGGGATACTGCTGATAAACGTGTGTGACACAGATCGATCCACAGCCAAGAACTCACTACTAGGCCGAAAATGAACGGCTAATAAAACCCAAACAAACACCAGGGAGGACCGAGGCAGATTCCAAGGATAGCTTAGATTCGGCTTCCTCCAGCCTCCGCCGCCCCCCAAAAACGAAAGCAGATTTATTCTTTCACAGCCCCCTACTATGTAAGTGCCCCAGAATACCTTCAAGCGGACACTTGTCTTTTTTTTCTTATTTTGTTATTATTTATTTTGGAACATACCTGGCGTTGCTCTTTTCTGAACTAAACAGTACTTTTCCTTTCGCGGAAACAAGATTTCTAGGAGAATAGAGAGAACTTGACTCCTAAACTGAATTTTCTAACCACCATTTTCTCCCTTCGTAAACTGGAAGTTTGTGTAGAGAGGGGACAGTGCAGGGGGGCGTGCTCCTGATTGGGAGCTGGGTTCTGTGGACCAAGGCCTATTTTGGGTGTGGCCCGGCTCCTGCAGAGCAGTCTGAAAGGAGATGGAGTCATATAGGGCCCCCAGTTGGTGCTGCCCTCCCCGCTTGCCCTTTGTTTAAACTTCGCTCATCCAAACGTACCTCTGGGATCACAAGTTCGCCTCTCTCCTAAGGGCTGCTAAGTGGTCGGCTAGCTTAGGACGGCCTTCCAAACTGAAATCGTTCACAACCCAGAGGCCTCTAGCGCTGCACTAGCCACAAGCTTTGAGGGATACTGGGAAGGAAGTGTGGGAGCTTTGGCCACTGTGGCTCAGTGTCTCTTCTATGTGGAGGACTCAGATATGGTCCAGGGAGCGCCCATCAGTTCAGAAAGGCTCTAACAGTACCTCTTGCTTCCTGCGGTTCCCTTTCAGATCCTCAAATCAAAAGATTCTTGCTTCCCTAGCATCTGCCATCTTCTTCGGAGTCTTTTGGAAATACAGACACTGGGATCCAGTGTCTTAGTGACTGGCCCGCTGGTGCCAGTTGTCTTGGACTCTGCAAATTCTGATCAACTTCTAGCCTCCATACCCCACCCGCAGACCATCGGGGGCTTCTCTTCGTCAACAGCTCTCTGCTTTGCTCAGAGGCCTGGGGTCAGCGACTTGACAACTGCTAAATGCATTTCGTTAGATGCAATTTGCTTGCAATTTGTCAACCCGGCTGGGAAACACTCTCCAGACGCCTGGCAGACGCCACGGCTCTACCTGGTTCCTGGATCCTGCCTGTTTAGAAACGAATTCCAACTTGGGCCTCGGTGTAGACCCAGAACTCACCCCCAGATGTTCCCGACCTCGGGAGACAAGTCTTTTTTTTTTTTTTCCAAACAAACGAATTTCTTTCCTTGTTTTCTGATAAAGGAGCAGACGCCACACGGGAGGCCCTTTTGAATACAAGACCTTTCCCTTCACCTCTCGGGTAAGCTCGAGTTCAAGCCCGGCCGCCACCGAACGATTCAATGCCCAGCGTCCAGACAGGCCCAGAGCTCTGTCTACGCCAATCCACAGCGGGTCCCTGAGTATGCGTCCGCCTCGTTCTTATTGAAATCCCACTGAAAGGATTCTGGCTCCGACGTGGGCAGCGGAAGACTTACACACCCTGCTCTCTCCCCCACCTGCACCCTCGCCACACAGGATAAAGGGCCGCGGGGCGCTTCGAGCGGGGGGCACAAGCAGGAGCGAGCCGGGTTAAGCCGCGCAAAGCCGGTGCACGGGACCAGCCGGCAGGTGCAGCCAGCGCCCGGCGGCCCGGCATCCGCGCAACCGCCGCCGCGACCCGGGGGTGGGGGACCGCCGAGACAAAGGCTCCAGCTCTAGGGTGGGAGGGGGGCGCGTCGCAAAGCTCTGAAAGCTGGGTCTTGAGGCCCAGGGCTCTGTAAAAACAAAAACAAAAACAAAAAACCCCAAAAACAAAAACGAAAGGCTGGAGCCCCCAGACCGGCCTTTGGGTTTCCGGATGACCTGGGTTTGAGCCACTAGTAGGACCGTGCGATCCGGGTGTTGGGAAGGCCGAGCCTGGGATCCGGAGGCTCGGGACAGCGCGGGCGGAGTGCAGGAACTTACCGACAGCAGCGCGGTGGGCGGCGCCCTCGGGCGGCCACGGCTAGGGCTCAGCAGGAAGAGAGCGGTGTGTGCGGCGAGGCTAGTTGTTCCGCCGGAGCCAGCGCGACAGAGGTGGTCACCAGCGGGACCCCGGCGCGGCGCCGAACGAAAGCTCGATGCGCAGACTGACGCTTTTGTCCGCCTGATGAGCCCCAAGACCAGCAATGGTTGAGGTGATCGCAGGCCAGAGAGACCTGAGCAGTGAACTACCGCCGGGCTGGCCTGGCCACCTCTCTTGGTTCTGGCTGCCTCTCGGTTCCCGGCCGCAGCGCGGCAGCTTTTTATTTCGACATCACTGGGGGGGGGGGGGGGCGCCGGGGGGGGGGGGGGGGGCGCCCGGGCTCTGAGCCCTGTCTGCCGGGTCCAGTCGCCGGGCTGGCCAGGCTCGGGCCACTAGACAGTCGAGGCGCGCACACCCTGCAGGCCACTCCCGCCTTCTCAGGGCCACGCAAGCACTTCTGCTCTCAGGGATGTAATCTCAGAAAGCCTGGGATGTCTCTCTTTGGAGAGTCTCCCTCACAAGCAAGTACACAGACACCTGCCCCTCCTTCCACACACACATCGTGCACGTGCTGTCGCTGGGGAGATGTCCTCGGACAGACGCTTTCAGGCACACAAGCACCCATGTGTACACACATGTATAAGATACACACACACAGTCACACAACCCCCTCACTTCCTGCACATTTGGCTAAGTGCAGATATATTCCCACTTCCGTCCCCCACAGACACCCATTTCCAACTCAAGCATTAGAGTTTCTGGTGTATTCTTGGCCCGTTACTAGCAAACCCTTTGCATCAGAGAATGCCACACGGAAAGCAAGAGGCTTGTCCTTAACAAGAGTAGGAGAAGGCACCCTGGTGGCAGTCTGCGCCCTAAGGAGGTACCTGAGCTAGGTAGCAATGAGAATCCCTTCCTTGTAGTACCTTAATCCCCTCTGAGAAATCCAAAGAACCCCATAGACTTATTCTGTGGGGGGGGGGGG